CCCAGGCGGGTCTCGAACCCACGGGCTCAGGCAATCCACTCACCTCAGCCTCTCAAAGGCGCGGGATTACAGGCTGAGCCACCGAGCCCAGCTTTTTTTTTTTCTTTTTGAGTTGGAGTCTCACTGTCTCCCAGACTGGAGTGCAGTGGCCGCTCCCAGCCACCACAGCCTCGACATGCTGGGCTCTGGCGATCCTCCGCCTCAGACTTTCAAGTAGCTGGAACTACAGGCACGCGCTACCACGCCCGGCTAATTTTTTGATTTACTGTAGAGATGAGGTCTCGCCAAGTTACCCAGGCGGGTCTCGAATCCACGGGCTCAGGCAATCCACTTACCTCAGCCTCCCAAAAGCACGGGATTACAGGCTGAGTCACCGAGCCCAGCTTGGTACGTGAAGTTTTATGGTCAGATTTACCCTTCACTATAGGAGTCAAAGCCAGGTCACCACAATGCCTCACAATGTCTCCAGACTGTTAGTGACAACCTCTGACTTTGAGCTTGGTATCATGTCCAGGTGCAAACAACGTGAAAAAAGGGGCCTGGCCACACTATTACTGACCTCTGCCAGGCGACCCTGCATCCCCACAGAGACCCTTCCTGTCCTGGAGCATTGGGAGGGGTCATGGTCTGAATGGGGGCCACACTGTCACTCACCCTCCGCTATGCTTCTTGAGCTTGGTGCAGAGGAGTAGATCGGTGAAGAGGAAGACGTGGCGCAGCTTGCGGGAGCCCTCTACCAGCTCCACCATGAAGCTGTCCTTTAGGAGCTGCCGGTGCTGTGGACATGGCAAGGGGGAGAAGAAGGCTCAGGTCAGGGCCAGTCTGGGTGGGGTAGGAGTGGGTGCGGAATGCTGGACCTCCCCAGTCCAGCAGGTTGACCTCTGGAGACGTTCTCCCCCTGGGGAGATTTCACTCCCTCCACATCCAACCTTCAGGCCCGCTTTTCAGAACCTTCTGTCCATCTCACAGGCCTGCTAACAGACCAGGGCATATGCATACCTCTTTGCTCAACAAATTTCTAAGTCCCTCCAGGACACTTGTACTGCAGAATAGGGTGGATGGATGGGGATAGGTAGTGGCTGTTGGCCTGGAGACCATTAGGGACACACAACCAAGTGAATAGTCTGCTGTAAGGCCAAATGATAGAAGACTGCCCTTTAAACAGGATGGCCAGTGCCTCTCTGGGTGGCAACTTGAGACACAGAATTGGCGAGAGGCCAGTCATGCCAAGGAGGGGTCATTCTCATAAAGGGACTGTCACAGGTACAGGCCCTGTAGTGGGAAAATCTTGCACACCAGGTACACATGGGACAGTGTGGTCGGTGGGGAGATGGGCCCAGGGCACTCTAAGACAGGGCAGCCTTCAAGGTCATGGCAAGGGCTGGGCTTAGTTCTCAGGACAGCAGGAAGCTAGAAGACACCATGTCTGGAACCCCTGGTCCTCCTGATTAGACAGGACCGGTAGGGTCCTGCATAGGGATCACCCCTCTCACACCTGTGGCTTGATAGCAAGTCAAAGTGGAACCCAGAGTAGGGGGCACAGGCTCCTGGCCAGCCATATCCCCCCTACATCTCAGTGTATCATCTGAAAGTCAAGGGATGGTCCTTCTCGCACAGCTCCAGGTAAGCCACAAGTTCATCCAACCCACAGTGTCCAGTACCTCACAGAGGTTGGGCATGTGCTGAGGACGTGGGGATGGGATGAGAGGTGGCAGCAGCGAGCCTTTCCCATGCACAGACTGGTGTGCCATGCGAACACATCACCTGAATTATCTGATCTGATCTATACATGTTGTAAGTGGATCCTTATGCCCATTTCATGGATGAGAAAACAGTCCGAGAGGCCCACCATCTGCCCCAGGCAGCACAGAGACCAAGTGGCAACACTTTTTGGTCTCTGTCTTCAGGAGCCCACAAGCTCTGGGGTGAGACTAGGGGTTAGCCAGGCACTGGCCTACCAAACCTCAGGAAAGGCTTCCTAGGGAGAGTGACCTCCAGCTTGTGTTGTGATGACGAGGAAGGATCTTCAGGTCAAGCACATACATCAGTGGGCATGGAAACCGAGTGTCTCCCAGGAGAAGCACCCATCCCCAACACAGGAAGCAAGGAGGCCCCATACTCTGGTGGAGCCAGACTGGGCCAGGGGGCCAGACCAGGTAACCTGCAGACTGGAATTCTTCTTGGGGAGCCTCTGTCTCCCTGAACTCTCCCGCACTGTAGAGGAGCTGGAGGCAGCAGAATCCCCTGGATGCAAGTGCAGCCTGCGACAGTCCCTCAACACTCCCAGGAATGGATGCTGCATGTCACCATTGAGCAGCCTGGCTCATGACAGCCAGCTGGGCCTGGGGAGGGGTAACTGATGACTTACGCGGGGGCTGCTGGTGCCCATAAGTGGGAGGGCAGGAAGGCGATGGTGTGCCAAGGCTGTGACTCATCGGCACTCACCCATACCCTACCTGCTGAGGGCAGATGGCCGCCTGGTGACGGCACCCACGGGAAGCAAGAAACGCATGTCCACCTGGAGAAACGTCCATGTAGTGCTGGAGGGCTGACCCCAGAGACCCCAGGCACAACCAGCTGCTGGGGCCACAGTGGGGACCATGTCCGAGGAGGGTCCTGGGACACTGATGCCCCCTCTGCAGGGACACAGTAGAGGGTCTCCCAGCCTAGGAGAAGGGGTTTAAGGGACATTCTGTGAGTGGTAGTGATATGGCAGGGCAGCCCTCTCGTCACACAAAGGATTGAGCTTCTTGTCACCACCAGCAGGGGGCACCCTACACCCGGCTCAGAAGCAGCAGACACGGCTCACTCTGTCATGGGTCCCCAGCATTGATGCTCCCCACAGCTGGCGCAGTCCACTCGTCACATGTTCATCTGAAGTAATACCTTAAGGGCACTCTTATCTTCCAGCAAGGCTACTGAGTGTCACTCTGAGTGCCTGTAGCACCTGTAAGTCTGCCTGCTACATTGAAAGGACACAGGTTTGACTGTGGGGAGGACACAGCCCCTCTGGGGCATGGACTGCTGACCCGTGAGGCTCTGACAGGTGGACTCAGCCCCATCTGGGGCTGCTCTCTTGATACCGTCACCCAACCCTCCCCATCCACCTGTACAACTCTCATCTTTCTAAAAGAAGCTCCAAAGCCACAGTGCCCAATATATCCCAGCCAGTCCACCATACCCGTGGCATCTTGGGCCCAGCTCTGTGCAACTCCCCATCACTGCGCCTCGGCCCCACCAGCCCACACAGCACCAGCACAGAGCTGGGAGACCCATGAAGCTTGGGTCTCTTTCTCCCCAGGGCATCCTTCTCAGTAATATTCAGTAGCCATTCTCCCAGGTCTGGGAGTACAGGATGCCTTAAAATCAGCACAGACCTCCTGCCCGACCCACCCATTGGGTCCTCCAGACACAGGGCAAGAGCAGGGGCCTGGGTCATAGTCCCCATTGAGTCCTAGTGACAGTGTAAGTTCATATGGTTGGAAAGGACAGTCCCCGTGACTTGGCCTCTCACTCACAGTAAACACCCTCAGGTGAAGGGGTAGGGTAGAGAGGCTCAGGTGAAGGGGTAGGGTAGAGAGGGCTGGGACCTCACTGGATCCCAGGACTGGGCTCACTTTGGCAGTGGAAAAGGGATGGGAGAGAACCTATGTGTTTCTGTGTGTCTCTGTCTCCTGTGTGTCCTAGTGTGCCCCCTATGTGCACCTCCATGTCTCTGTGTGTGTTTGTTCCTGCAAGACTGTATGTTCCTGAGTGTTTGTCTAGGCCTGTGTGTGTCCTCATGTAAGTAACCTCATGTGCTGCTGTGTAGGTTTGTGTGTCTCCATGTGTGCTGTGGGGCAGAGTGGTGGGAAGGAAGGCACCAGATAGCAGGACAGCATTCCCTTTGGGGTGCTCCCCCACATCCCAGGTGGGAAACACCAGCAGGAAGGAACACCATCTGTCTTCTCGAATAACCGGTAACATTGCTCCAACAGGAGCCCCCCCTTCCAAGGGAGCAAAGATATCCAGAACTGTTGGGATGAAAAAGACCAATCTGGTGGTATGTTTTAAAGGATTAAAAGAAATTAAACCTAAAGGGCCTCATAAGGGGCCATTGTTGACCATCTATCAAGTCCTCTGCGGGTGGAGGAGCCACATTCAGAGCTTCCCACACATTATGTCACCCACTGCTCCAAGGACTCTGTGAGGGAGGCACAGTCACTCTCGTTTCTACAGGTAAGGAAACTGGGGCCCAGCGAGGTTATATCATGTGTCTGTCCATGATCTTCTGAGGTAGGGACAGCCTTAAGGCCGCTGTGTGCCATGAGGAGGGGCACTTCCTTCCTAAGCAGTCTCCCCCGCAGGCTGATCACCTCCTGTAGCTGTCACCGAGGCAACTCCCCCTCCCTCAGACACACACAGCCCATCCAGAGCCTTCCCCAAAGTCCAATCTGGAAGAAGTGCATTGTTATGGGCTGAATGTCTGCATTCCTCCAAAATTCATGTTGAAGCCCTAGCTCCCAGTGTGACAGTATCTGGAGGTGGGGCCTTCGAGAGGCACCTAAGTTTAGATGAGGTCATAAGAGTGAGACTCCCATGATGGAATTAGCATCCCCATAAGAAGAAGAGCGATCTTACTCTCTCTCCAAGGATGCACACGCTTGGAAGGACACGTGAGGACAGAGTGAAGAGGCGTAAACAAGGTGTGGACTCGCCCCAGGACCTCACTGTGCTGGCACCCTGACCTCAGTTTTTCAGCCTCCAGAACCATGGGAAATGTCTGTTGTGTAGGCCTCCCAGCAGACAGTATTTTGTTACAACAGTCTGAAGTGACTAAGACATACTCTGGGAAGCCAGAGACCACGGTTCCATGGAGCCGGTGAATTTCCTCAGCTAGAGGAACTGCAGTACCTTGACAGGTGGGACCAGGAAAAGTCACTGAGGGGACACAGGTCGGGGCTGAGAAAAGAGGAAAGAGGGCCGAGGTGAGGCCAAAGTAGAGGTGTCAGCTGCTGTCTCAGGGGGGCTCTGGAGGAGGTCAGCAGCTCCAGCCCTCACTACTGTGCCCCTGAACAAAGCCTGTACCCTAGAGAGTTGGCCGAGTGCCAGTGGCCTGGCTGGCATTGACCATCAGTGGCCCTGGCTACATAGGCATCTGACAGGCTCCAGAGTTTCAGTAGATGGTCAGGGAGCAATGAGAATCCCCAGTCAGGCCAAGGCACACCTATAATGGAGCATGAGGTCCAGAGTCCTGCCTGCCCCTGCTGCCCTCTGATTCACTGCCCGCCCCCGCCACCGCAAAGCAAACCTCTGCTTCCTGGTCCCTGAGAAAGCCTCTGTGGCCAATTCTGGCCCAGAAAGTCTCCTTTGCCCTAGAGAGACACATCACAAGACACTCCATCACTGGGTGGCCCAGAAAGGTCAGGAACCTGCAGGGTGGAGGGCAGGGCAGGGCCTGGGAAGCTCGATGCTGGCTTTTCACAACAGTAAGGGTGGCAGTAGCTAGAATTTGCTGATTACTTTTTGGTGTCAGGCTCTATGCAGAGTGCTATCCAAAATATCACATCTCTCTCTGCAGATCTGTCCCATGCAGCCAGCTCCACCCAGACGCCACTTGCAAATGTTCATGAAGGGCCAAGAAAGACCTCGACAAGGGGCACTCACCCTGCCCTTGTAGCCCACAGTTTTTTTACCTTCTGGCAAGCAGTGCCTGCTGAGGTTCCCTTCAGCTTCCTACCAAGGACTCAAGGCAGAGCTAATGGCCTGGGGTCTCCTGCTTTTGAAACAGTGGGCACCATGAGGTCCAGGCCCACTCCCGTTCTATGTGTGAGCAAGCTGGTGCTGAGATGAACAGTGGCTACCCCCAACCCTGTGTATGGCGGAGCTAGGGACCCCATCCCTTTCTGTCTTCACCCCTAGGCTGGGCACCTCCCTCTCCCTAGCATCCCTTGCAGACTTTGCCAACAGGGTCTGGCCCTCTTTCTTCGCTGGTGATGTAGATGGGGCTCTCCCATTGCCTCTAACATGGACAACGCTACATGGGCAGGTTGTCATCCTTCTCCAACTGTTCGCCAACTCTTTAATCATCAGCCTCTCTTCTTCTCTGCCCTGGTCTCACTGCCTCTTGGCCGCAGCCTGCACCAGTGATACTTCTCAGGCCTTTCCAAGGCTCCTGTTCAGACCACTGCCCATGTTCTGCTTCCATGAAGGGTCTCTGGGATCCCAGGCAGGTAACGGGTACTGGAGACCAATGCCTGGCTGGTTCTTGGGAAACAAAACATCTAAACCGAATCATCCTATATGCCTCAGAGACTGAGCCAGGGGTGCTGAGCAGCACATGGTGCAGGCTCACAGCAGACAGACGGGCAGCCACATCAGGGAAATTATCCAGCAGTGGGAATCTGGTTATCTCACTGTGAAGTTAATTCAGCTAAGCAAATGAGCGCCCACTCACTAGCCCACAGGACCCCAGTCTGGAAAGAAAACATGTCCACAGGATCCTCTGATTCTGATGCTTCTGGGGAGGCCGAGGAGGGCATCCTCCTGGGCAGCGCCTACAGGATCGGCCCCCAGGTGTGCTGGGGCCAGGACACTGGGAAGCCAGAACATCTGCTGGCCACTGTTCAGTGTCAGGGAACCACCTGAGGCATCCAAAGTCACTCTTTTGCAGAGAGTGCAGCCTTGGCATCATGAACTTGACTGAAAAGGATGCTGAAGTTACACAGGCCACAGTGGGGATCAGGGCTGGGTCTGTGACCCTGTGTGGGGCTCATACCCAGGCCTCTCCGTGACACTCTGACTTACCCAGGTCAAGCAGTGGTGACAGGCACCTTTCAGGAGGGCCAGCAGTGACTGTGGGAACACTTCCACATGCCCAGGCTGATGAAGGCACCTTTCCTCTTGCTACAAAGCTGCCAGAGAAGCTGGAAACAGAGCCCTAACCACCCCCCCTCAACGTGTTCCAGCAGGAGAAGCCGGGAATGGAGCTCCACCCGGCATCTAACACTCAGTAGTGTGCTAAGAGGGACACATCCTCCTTGGGACCCCACCTACCTACAGGTAGTGCAGGGACAGAAGGAGGGGTGGACAAGTCCTGTCAGTTCACTGGGAAAGGGGAACCAAAGTATAACACATCTGGGGTGCACACAGGTGGTTAGGGGATACTTGGTCTCACATCCTGGTTTAGCTACTTGGTAGCTGTGTGACAGTGAGCAAGCCATTCAACCTCTCTGAGCTGCAGGTTCCTTACCCATAAAAGGGAAGAGGCCTCTGACCCCACAGAGTTGTCACGAGGACTCAGAGGCATAGTTTCTTCTTCCTTTCGGAACCTGATAATCAATGTCGTGTAACAAACTGAGAGGCAGGCACAAGACGAAAGCCTAGACCCTCCCAAGCTGCAAAAGCTAAGGGGAAGCAGCCTGCAGCTCCTGCCCCTCCAGGATTCCTTCCCGGCGGGTAACATAGAGGGAGCTCTTCTGTCACCTCCAACACAAATAAATAGTGCCACATGGGCAGGTCATCATCCTCTCTGTCATACAAAGATGGGGGAGAAGTCCTGGCACCATATGAGAGGTCATGAGGAAACAAGGATGCCTGTATTTGTTTCCCAGGAGACTAGAGTGCTCATCAAAGAACAGCTGGCAGAAAAGAGAGAGCAGTCACCCGAGGAGGGACAGGCGAACCCTGCAAGAACCCAACCGGTACATGGAGGCTTAGGAGAAGCAAATTCAACACCCAGTTAGGTCTGTGTGAACTGCCACAGGGAGGCCACAGCTGTGCTCTCCTTCAGTGGCCCTGAACTGAGGGAGAGAACCAGGGGCAGGGCCCAGGTGTTGCTCCAAAAAGCAAGATCTGATCCCTACACCAGTCCCGGTTTCGTGGGGAGTCCCTTGCCCTGCACAACATCTCCCCTGGGTGGTGCCAGGGACTCACTTCTGCCTTCACTGAGCTCAGAGACCCCAAAGGAGGTGACATAGATGGTCAGGACTGCTGCTAAATTATGCTCCTTTGAGTGCCCAGGTGCCCGGTGAGGCGGGGCCATGTTCCCACCTTGCTTCAAAGATGATGAACAGGCCCAGGAAGAAGCCACAGCCTGCCAGGTGGGTCAGTCCTTGAGATGCTAGGATGAAACCCCAAGTCTGCCGGGGTTCAGGGCCTGGACAAGCCTGAAGAAGGAGGGTCAGCTCCCTCCTTCTCCAGGCCCTTCCTGGGCCAGTCCCAAGGAGGAACTTGACTCATCCAATGTGCAGAGGACAGGGCTGAGTGTGGCCTGCCTGATAGCCCAGGCCAAGAAGAAGAAAAGAAACCCTGTGTGCTGGGCAGGTCAGCCCTGGGACCCCCTAAAGACAGGGTCTGCAACCTCAGCACAGCATCCTTGGCACACAAACCAGAAGAAAGAGGAGTCAGTGATTCTCAGAGGCAACGACAGTCAGGTTTACATCCTACCTGTGTCCTGCCTGGGCCAGATAGCTCCTATCCCTACACAAGACCCCAGAGGCGGGGGTCAGCTCTTCAACTCAGTGCTGCTTCTGACAATTTGTTTTTCACACAGCACTGGGTTGTACCCTGACAGGGTCACCAATCCCAAAAGGCAACACGCTGCCTATGTTAGGCTGAGCTGACCAGGGACAGTCTGCTGAGGACCAGGAGGGGAGTGACTTGTGTGCCCCTGGCTCAGGCAGGCCAGGCCAAGTTAGACCATCCTGGCCACGCTCCCGCTGGATGCTAGATCCCCAGCCTGCATGTCTTAACAGTGCTCAATAGATGCTGCCTGGCTGGGAAAGACATCTGCCTAGCAACATGCTGAGCTCCTCCCAGGAAGGCTCAGAGAGGCACAGACCATGCCTGCTCATTGATGATGTGCACTCAGAGTGACTGAGTGATGGCCAGTGATGGAATGGAGAGAACCTTTCTGAAGGAAGACATCAAGTGCTTTAGCCAGTTTCCTGTCACAGATACAAACCTTGGACCCCCCTTAAATCTGGGGTTAACTGGTTGTTTTTTTTTTATGAAAGAGCACTCAAGATGCTGTCCTCAAGCAGCCTGTCCTCACAGATCTTGGCTGGGAACCTTTAGCTGGCAACAGTATAGAGAATAAAAGGGGGTGTCTGGACATAACCCACCACAACAGAAAAAGAAAGAGGCAGTAGGGTGAGGCACAGTGATGGACGTCATCTAGAAGGTATAGGATGTGCGGGGTAACCCTGCAACTTTACCTCAACATCTCCTACACAGGACTTGGTTGTACCCTGCCAGAGTCACTGATCCCGAAAGGTAACACACTGCCTGTGGTAAGCTGAGCTGTCCAGGGTCAGTCTGTTGAGGACCAGGAGGGGTTCCTAGCCTCAGACTGAGGGTGCCCTGTGTGCCCCCAGCTCAGGTGGTCTGGGCCAACCCAGGCCACCCCGGCCATGCTCACCTCTCCCTTCTTCACTGTCATAGACTGTCGGCGGGGTGTGATCTCCTCATTGATGCTGGACAGGAAGTTCTGCGAGATGCGGAGGGCGTCCTGCAGCAAGGGGTGGTCAGGGTGGCTGGAGGGAGTGTGCTTCAGCAAGTCCTGCCCCAGCAGAAAGACTTGAGTTAGACCGAGAGCAGCACTGGCACCAATCACGGTGTGCAAAGTGTAGACACACATGGGTGTAACCCAGAGTGCTGGCTCCCTAAGTGCCACCACCATCTCTCTCGCTCAGGCCTGGGCTTTGCAGACAGTACCTCTGTGAGTACCATCCCAGGAACTCCAATGGCACTCTGACAAACCCACGTTATATGCACTCTGCCAAGAGGGACTCCTGTTGTAAGGGTCTGGGGTAGGGTATCTAGACCTCAGCTCTGCTGACTTATTGATTGGACAATTCTTTGCTGGGGCAGGGTTTGGGGGAAGATGTCCTGTGCTCTATTAAGATGTCTAGAACCATCCCTGGCCTCTACCCACCAGATGCCAGTAGCACCCCCTCGGCTGCAGGTGTGACAACCAAACATATCTCTGGACATTGCCATGGGTCCTTGGGGGAAGAACTGGTCCCAGTCCAAAGGGGCACTGCGACTCACGTGAAGGACCAGTGTGCTCCTCGTCACCCGGTCCACAGGCTTGTAGAGCAGAGCTGCGGAAAGACAGGTGGGATGAGAGATGGAGCAAGTGATCACCCACCTGCCCACCTCAGTGCAAGGACAAGGGGAGGCCCCAACCTCCACAGGCCGCCCTCTCCCCTCTGCAGTGACAAGGGCAAACCCAGAGTACCCAACCCAGAAAGCTTTGAGGTTTATGTCCAGGACATTATATGCAGAGTCCAGAGTGGTTGGTCAGACCCGAGTCTGCATGGGCGACTCAGGGACAACTGCTAAAAAGGCTCAGCATAGACACTTCTCCAGTCTGAGGTCAGGGAGCCCACCAGCACCCTGGCAAGAAACCTGCTCTCCAGCCCAGAGGGGATGCTGGGAGCAGACCAGTACACTGTCCCAATGTCAATCCCAGGACATTTTGGAGGTCTGATTTTGAGAAGGGCAGGAGCTGACTCATGCTGACACAGGACCGTGTTGTACCCTGCCAGGGTCGCTGATTCCAACAGGCAACACGATGGTTTGACAGGCACTGAGGGAACCTGCTTGAGGACACCTGGACCCCAGCTGCACAGGATCTCCACTACAGTGGGAGCAGCCCCCAACCACAGCAGAAGCTCTGGCCAGACTTGGCCACCTGTGCTTCTCCGTGATGACTGTGAGCATGGCCCATCACAAGCTTGGATGCTTGGGTGTTCTGACACACGCTGGGTACATTTCCTCAGGGGACTCCCACAGCCAGTGTAGGGCATGTACTACTATTTTCACTTCACAGATGGGGAAACTGAGGTCCAGAGTATGAAGCTCTGGGGACCAGAGCCACATCTGCTATTCTCCATGAGTGTAACTATCCATACCATCCTGACAACTGAAAGTAAGGGGTTCCATATAATTCCCGACACCACCTTCCCAATAACCCTGGATTCAATCCCTGGCCAGCCACTTAGAACCTGTGTTCTACATGGGCTACTTTATGTTCTAAACTTATCTGTTATCTGCAAAAAGGGAAAATAAAATCCTCCTTATAGGGCTGTTGGGGACAACACGGTGACTTTTTCTTTTGAGTTGGGTCTCACTCTGTTGTCCAGGCTGGAGTGCAAATAGCACAATCACAGCTCATCATAGCCTTGAACCCCTAGGCTGAAGTGATCCTCTTGCCTTAGCCTCCCAAGTTGCTTGCAACTACAGACACATGCCACCACACCCAGCTAATTTTATTTTATTTTTTTGTAGCGATGAGATCTCACTATGTTGTCTAGGCTGGGCTCAAGCGATCCTCCTGCCTTGGTCTCCCAAAGTGCTAGGATTACAGGTGTCAGCCACCACGCCTGGCCAACACAATGACATTAAAATGACCCTGTTGGTGGCACACTGGTCCTGACCGCGTCCTTCCTTGCTCCAAGCTGCTCTTCCCTTGTCCTGAGTTGTTCTTCCCTTGTCCCTACTCTATTTGAAGTCTAAAATAGCGAAGCACCAGAGGGTAACCCAACTGGACACCATGTCCTGTGTACTTTTCAGCAATGTCCCCTCTGCAGGTGGCAGCAGCCACCCCCACTAGGGCACAAAAAGTCAGCACAGAGAACTCACTTTCCAGAGAGTTCTTGGTCGTTGGATCCTTGGCATCCTTGTTGCTTCTGGCTCTCAGGTTCTGCAGAGAGAAAAGCATGTGTTCACATGGATGACTGAAGCTGCCTTGACAGGGCAGGAAGTTCCATGGTCAGGAGTTGTTAAAAGCAATCTCAGCATTCCCTTGTTGGAAGGACCCCAGGTGCATTCTGAGCCACTGAATGAGATCATGGGATAAGCAGGAACCCGCAGGCAAACAGAGCATGCAGGATGCCCTGGGTGCTGTAATCCGCTTGGGAGGGTTTCTCAATCTTGGCACTGTTGACATTTTGGGCTGGAGAGTCTCTGTTCTGAGCAACTGTCCTGTGCACATTGCAGGATGCTGAGCAGCACCCTGGTCTCTACCTGTAGGGGCAGCGGCACCCCTGCCTTCCTGCTGCTGTGACAACCAAAAATATCTCCAGGCACTGCCAAGCATTCTTTGGGGACAAAAGCACCTCGGGTTGGGAACCAATGATACAGTGAATACTTTAAACAAAAGCAAATAGTGGCGCACTTCTTAAATGCATATCACTGCTTTCTTGTGATTAGATAGCGGCAAGGGGGCTAGTAGTTCAGAAGAGCACTCACTAGCCTTTGGGGATGGCCAGGGTGGGCATTCTCCGCAACTACTGAGACCGATACCTTCATCTGTCTTCTCTTGATTTGCAAGCATATTTACTAAAAAGAGGTGGTAAGATTCTCAGGGCAAGAGTAAGGTTTTTTTGTTTTTGTTTTTTTTAGACAGGGTCTCTCTGTCACCCAGGTTGGAGTACAGTGGCATGATCATGGCTCACTACAGCGTTGACTGCCTGGGCTCAGGTGATCCTTCCACCTCAGTATACTGAGTAATTGGGACTACAGGCATGCACCACCCTGCACAGCTAATTTTTAAAAAAAAATTTTCATAGAGATGAGGTCTCACTATGTGGTTCAGGCTGATCTTGAACTCCTGGACTCAAGTGATTCTCCTACCTTAGCCTCCCAAGGTGCAGGATTACAGGCATGAGCCACTATACCTGGCCAAGAGCAGGGCTTTTTAGTGGCTAGACTGTGTTTTAACACAACTGCATCAAAGGCATCACTAATTGGGTTTAAGGTACAAAGAAAATTGAGGATAAAGGATGCCTGTGTAACTGAAATCCTCTGGAAAGGAGCTGAGATTAATTCCCATACCAGGCTTCTGAACAAAAGCATACATATCAAACGTGGAGGAGGCTCTGAGACCGTTCTGCCAACATTTTGTGTTGCAGAAAATCTTTCAAGCCCAAAAGCTGGTATCTTCCAGCTCCCTGGGGTCAGACTCTGCTATACTTTTCCTCGAGTCTAACATCCCTCGCATTGATTGCTCCTCCATACATCTGACTCAGCATTTTCCAAAGGGCGTGAGGTGTGGGAGAGCTAAACAAAAGACAACAAAAGCCAGGTGCTGTGCTCCCATGAGTCTGGGAGGTGTGTGGCCCATGCTCCACGTGCCCTGGACAGCGCAATGCACAGGAGTATTTGGGAGCTCCGGGAAGCATACCTCCAGGAAACTTGTGAGTTTGGTTTAATCCCACATTTTCCCAATTTACTTGACAACGGAAGCCCTTTTCATGTAACTCCTATTATCTACTATCTAGGGACTTGGCATTTCCTGGACAGTGGACAACTCTGATCTAACTGGAAGCTGCCTTGTACCCATCTCAGTATTGTCTGGAAGAAGATGAAGGACTACTACTCCACCCCTCCCTGTGCTTCTAGGTGATACTCAGACCCCCATACTCTAGTACTAACGTTCCCCACCTCAGAATACAGCCCTTTACACCTCCGCATGGCCTGCTGCTGCCTCTCCCTTGAACTTGATTTGCTATCTCTTTTAAACATGGATGGAGAACAGTACAAGTGCTACAAACCTTCACAGAGGGCCGACTTCTGGCTGTCCTGAGCTGCTTTCCCACTCCCTGCATTGGCTCAGATTCCCAGTAGTGTGCAGTCGGTGGGATCATGCGATTCCCCCCAGGTGGCTTCCCACCAATGTTTCCTCCTTCCTCTGTAGAAACCTGTCAAGGTGGACTTGAACTTGGCCACTTAACTGTAATCTTCTCTCAAAGGATCAGGTCTCTAATTTGTCAAGGTTACTTGGAATTCTGTGTGACTATTGCAGGTATTGTGGGTGTGAGGATTGCTAATTTAATGAAAAAGGAAAAGATAATGACTGGATGTTCCAGGGAGAGCATGGCAGGTAGGAAGGGAGACCTGGAGTTCTAGCTGTGTACAGATCCTGTTACTAGTAGCACCCAAGAAGGAGTGGGGCACCCATGGGTTCTGGAAAACCAGGATGGCACATGCTATCAGAAGACAAAGAACCACTAGTCTATCCCTCCCTCGGCTTAAGGGCAATCCTCAGGCCCCCACGCCTGAGCACAGACCCCCCCCCCCAGAACACACGACCTGCTGCTGACTCTTCCTTGAGCTTGATTTCACTCTCTTTGGGTGGCTCCAGTTTCTCTGCATCTTTTTTGAAATATGTGAGTTTGGTTTCATGTACGTTAAGCCAAAGTGCATATCATTATCACCAGGGAGATGTCAGACCTAGGACCCATGATGCTCACCCCCCAACCCACATTGTGATAAACCATAAATAGCGCAAAGCTTTAGGAAGAAAGTGCAGGTGTGACAGTCGAGAGCTGTGTCCCAGCAAGAGAGACCAGACCCAGTCCATATTTCTAGCTCTCATTTCTCTTTCTAATACTGTCTCTCACACAGAGTGCTTTCCACCCAGAATCCTTGCTGGGTGGGAGAAATCTAAGTCAGAAGTCATAGCTATAGCAAGTAGAAGTCACCAAAATCAAGAGTGACTACAGAAATGCAAACCCAAGGGGAGCTACTGGGTTCTGCTCCTGACTTGGCCACCAGGGCTCTGTACCCAAGGGGCTCTTTTGAGGTCCTGGGGCTAACATTCCATAAGTTGAGGCTCTAGTCTCAGAGGCTCAATACAGGGATGGAGTCTGCAGCCCCTGAGACCTGGGGCCTGGGATGGTGTGGTTCCAACCTGGGGTTTTGCTCCCCACATGGGTCTACAGGCACAGGTGCCATGAATCTTCATTCCTCAATGCTCCCAGCTCAGAAGGTCGCTAGTAGATAGAAAAGAAAAAGAGCAGGATATCTGCCACCCAGTCTCCAGTGACAGGTGCAAAGTCAGTCTCAGGACTCCTGTGATGAGACCTTGGTAAAGCCTCGACTACTGTTGAAGGGCAGAACTACAGATATTCTTCACTGCAGACTGAGCACAGGACTGTCCAGGAGTCCAGCCGAGACTGGGACTCGAGCCCTGGTCCTTGAGGTGGCAGGACACTATGGGCTGCTCCTTCTGTCTGGGCACAACAGTGTCCCCAGCACAAGACCGACAGAACAAACCCAGCAGAATCTGTAAACAGAGCTGGGGTTTATGATCAGACCTTGATTAAGTGCACTTTGTTCTCCCGTGGAGGTGGAGGGGTGTGGGTGGCAGTCAGCAGTGCACCTGTCTGAACAGCATCACAGTGTTACCTCAGAGATTTCTGCAAACTGAGCATTGGCCTGACAGCATTTCTCAGCCGTTTCCATGGCAACTCCGTAGTTGTCCACAAAGGCTCGGTATACACCCAGCTGGCTGGCCTGCAGGGAGGAAGGAAGACAGTATGGGACAAGTGTGGGACAGGTGCAGGACAGGGACTGCTGCTCCCTATCTCTTTGAGGAATAGGCTTCCGTGCACAGCTCTGGAGCAACCCCAGGTACAGCAGACACACACAGGCTGCAGAAGCCTCAGCTCTTCAGTGCCACTCCCTCCCACAAGCTTCCCCTCCCCACCCACCCAGCACACTTCCCTTTCCCAAGATGACATGGTGAGAAGTGACTCATGGCCCAGGCAGGTAATGGCTCCCTCTCATAGCTGCTTATTCCTCCCACTTCACTTGCTTAAACGGTGCCACAAGTGGGAGCTAAAGTTTGAGGTCAGTGACTCCAGACAAGTGTCTCTCTGCAGGTGGGACTGAGCAGCACCTTCATGTTCTGCTGCAGGAAACCACCCCAGACACAGAGGTGAGCACCCCCAGCCCACAGTGGCTACAGTGCGCCACACACATCCAATCCCTTCAGACACATAAGGAACAGGAGGTTTGGCTACCTGTGCAGAGAGGGGTGCCCCCGACCCCGCCAGATACCAGTGAGGGTGTGTTCAGATGTCATGCAGCATGCCTGGTAGATGGGAGAGCTGCTGGCTATAAGGCAATAGGGATTTTGTTTGTCCTTTATTAAACAAAAGGCACTAATAGAGGGTCTCTTCACTCAACCTCCTACTGAGACACACATTCAGTTGAGTGACAACTTCTGTGGGTGTGAGTACGCGCAGACAACACCATCTATGGGCCTCACATTACTTTTAGAGGCAGTAAGGGAAAAAGCACCAAACCCAAACCTGGAGAAGGTAAGGGCAGACCCAGCGGACCCAGCAGACCCACCGGCCAGGGATGAAGACTCACACTGCAGCCAATTAAGAGCTGGAAGTCTAAGGCATTCACTGCTCCTTGGGTTTGTTCTATGCTGAACCTAAATTTTATTTCTGCAAGCAATGAATTTTATGTTTCTATAGATGACAATCCCAGAAGCTGGGTGAACCAGGCATCCTTGGCACCATCTGGTCTTCTGGCCCCAAGTTCTGTGGAGGCTGTACAGAGGGCCTTGGGGTGTACGAGGAAAGAGCAGTAGCTCAAAGATGCCCCGCTCAGCCTCTGCCATCTGACCACCCTGGATAAGCCCTTGCAGCCTTGAATTCCAGGTTCTCCCTCACTGGTGCAGTGATGAAAACCAGAGCTCTTCTTTCTTTCCCTCCTCCTTCCTTTATTGGTCACTGAGTGGCTCCCCTCCAACTATGGCTCTGTCACCACAGCTGTGAATAATTTTGGACACGGTGCTGCCCTCTGCAGCCAGTGCTCTAACAGGAGAATGCTTGATAAATAAATAAGTGAACACACACATGAACGGCAGATGGCTACAAGCGGGGTAGGGACTGAGAACAACGGGGCTGCTTTGAGAAAGTGGTCAGGGCCAGGATCAGAATGGCTTCTCGGAAGAGGTGACTGCTGAGCAGCATCCTAAGGGTCTTGGGAGGAGGCCTCCTTTCGTAACTACTCCTTCTTCCTGCCCAAGGAGCTCGCATCTTCCAGGTGCTTTGTGAGACATTGCAAGCTATTTATTTCCATGTTTTTAGCTAATCTAAAAACCCAAGCTGCACTGACGATGGCACAAATGGAGATCATGTGCCTCCTGATCTGATGCACCAAAGGACATGGCCTCACTGTTGTGCTACAGTAGTGCACAGCCTGAATCTATTCCTTCAGAGGAAACTGATGAACCTGAACTGAACTGTGCCCTTTAAAAAAGCAAAATCCACGGAACGGGTACAAGTCGAAGGAGACTGAAGAGATGCAACAACCAGGTACCTAACATCCTGGATTGGATGCTGAATCAGAGAAGAAAACGGATGGGAAGAACATGATTGTTAACTTGGGGAAATCTATATGGTCTGCCTATTAAATAATAGCTCATGTCACTGTGAAATTTCCTGAATTTGACAAATTGTACTGTGGGTTATGGAAGAGAATGTCCTTGTTCTTAACAAATACACAATGAATGATTCAGGGAAAACAAAACTCTTGTTTTGTGTGTGTGTGTGTACATGTACAAAGAAAAGATACAAATGTGGTAAAATGTTTACAACCAGCATATCTGGGTGAAGGTTACATGAGGGTTTTTTGTACTATTCTTACAACTCTCCTGAAAGTTTGAAATGATCAGAAAAACAAAAAAATCTGAGCTGATAAAATTTCAGCCAGAAACAAAACCCTTAACTGTGGACATGAGCCTGTACAGCCCTATAGGAAGAGGTGGCAGAAGCCAAATGTGAATCAGGCTTTCTGAACTATCAGACACAGCTCACAAGTTCCCAGGCTCAGGAAGAGGCACCAAAGTTGGGCAGGTCATTGAGAACTTCTGGTTGTAGGACTCTCCCAGCCAGGAGATACTGGACCAACCCTCCTGAGCTGGTCTGAGAGGGATGAAGGCAAGCACCAAGCCTATCTGTCCTTAGAGAGTCCTCGGTGCTCAGCCCAGGTTGAACACGTGAATACTCAGCACAAGGCTACCAGGAATGACCTCCCACTGCAACCCCAGCCTCTCTCCCCAACCTTCTTTCTGCAGCATCTGACGCACAAAGGTAGCTCAAGGACACCAGGAAAACCAGCAGAAACTTTCCAAAGTTAAATCCAGTGTTCATTGGATATTAAAATTTTTTTAAAGTTTCCCAGTAATTTCAGAATGTATTCGGGGAAGCGCTCTAGATGTGGTTTTATTTTTTTTCCAACAACACAATTCATTTCTCAGGAGGGTGGCAGGGTGAGTCCAATCAACTAGATTTAAAACTGCTGACACACACAGGGGGCTTCAAAGGTGAGGGACACTTGCATCAAAATATAGCTTCCTATTCTCTGGTCACGGGGAAGGGAGCCCCAGGAGACAAGAACTGGACGAAACAAGTGCCTTGGGCATTTTTTGGGCTTTAGCTCTCAACTGAATCCAGTGGGTCTGCACCAGAGTGGTGGAGGGAGGGGTCCGCCTACAGGAAAGCTCTGCCTCAGAGTGGAATGCTCAGGCCCCAGTGCAAGCCAGGGTAAGGCCAGAGTGAGCCCCAGCTGGGTTTCTGGGAGTGTTGGGGCCAGGGACTAGGCTTTTAAGAAACCCTGTGCTCTTCATGCTTAGAGGGGACCCAGTCTTGGGCCACCCCTACCCCTGGGGTTGGAGAATGCTCCAGAAAAAGAGTGTGCATGCTGGGTGTGGTGGTGCGCGCCTGTAGTCCCAGCTACTCAGAAGACTGAGGTGGGAGCATCACTTGAGTCCAAGATTCTGGGCTGCAGTGTGCTATGCTGATCAGTGTCTGCACTAAGTTCAGCATCAAAAAGGATGACCTCTTGGGAGTGGGGGACTCCTCCAGATTGCATAAGGAAGAATGAACTGACCCAGGCAGCAGGTCAAAACTCCCATGCTAGCCGGGCTCAGTGGCTCAGCCTGTAATCCCGTGCCTTTGGGAGGCTGAGGTGAGCGGATTGCCTGAGCCCGCGGGTTCGAGACCCGCCTGGGCAGCAAGACCTCATCTCTACAATAAATCAAAAAATTAGCCAGGCATGGTAGCACACGCCTATAGTTCCAGCTACTTGGAAGGCTGAGGCGGAAGGATCACCAGAGCCCAGCAGGCGAGGCTGTGGTGGTCAGGAGTGGCCACTGCACTCCAGTCTGGACGACTGAGTGAGACTCCAACTCAAAAAAAAAAAACAAAAAAACAAAACTCCCGTGCTGATCAGTAGTGGGATTGCGCCTGTGAATAGTGACTGCACTCCAGCCTAGGCAGCATAGCAAGACCTTGTCTCTTTTAAAAAATAACAACTTTAAAAAAAAAATGTCCATGCCAAAAATCAGGATTGGGGTTCTCAGAGATGGAACCCTGGCCACATAGGTCGGGCAAAGGGGTCTTTTCAAAGAACTCACAGAACTTCATGTGCCAGAAGACAAATGGTGATCGCCTATGCTTTAGATTTGTTCCTTCAACCTAGGCCCCTCAACTGTTTATTCCTTTAGGACAAGCGCCTTATCCTTGTCTTGGTTCAATGTGCAACTCAACATGATAACTGTCCTGGGTGTGGCCTGGCTAATGTCAGGAATGGTTGGCTATCATTTCTTAATCAGGACACTACAGCTTACTGGTCCTAATCATTCATTCACTCATTCATTCATTTGTTTGAAAGGGGGACTCACCCTCTTGCCCAGGCTGGAGTGCAGTAGTATGATCATCACTCACTGTAAGCTTGAACTCCTTGGCTCAAGGGATCCCCCTACTTCAGCCTCCTGAGTAGCTGGAACTACAGGCACATGTCACCATGCCTGGCTAATTTTTCTATAGAGATGAGATCTCACTATGTTGACCAGGTTGGTCTCGTCTGGCCTCAAGTGATCCTCCTGCCTTGGACTCCCAAAGAACTGAGATTACAGGCAGTTACATTTCCAGTCCCTGATCCCAGTGACGTTTTTTTTTAGTTGGAATCTCACTCTGTCGCCCAGACTGGAGTGCAGTGGCACGCTCACAGCCACCACAGCCTCAACCTGCTAGGTTCAGCCTAGCACAGGTTCACCACAGCCTCAACCTGCTTTTCCTTCCGTCTCAGCCTTTCAAGTAGCTGGAACTACAGGCATGTACCACCATGCCTGGCTAATTTTTTTGATTTATTGAGGAGATGAGGTCTCGTCAAGTTGCCCAGGCTAGTCTCGAACCCGTGGTCTCAGGCAATTCTCTCACCTCAGCTCCCAAAATGCTGGGATTACAGACGTGAGGCACCGTGCCCGGCCAATCCCAGTGACTTATAAGCAGCATCTTTGGCTCCTCTTGTCCCTGAGGCCAGCAAAGGGCCACAGAATTCCCCCGAACTGTCTTCTGGCAAGTCTCTCCCATCCTCTGATGGTGCTTCCACCTATGGGGACCTGAATTGGGATTCTACAGTCACTTCTGCCAAATAGATTCTTGCCAGTTTTGGCCCACTGAGACCTTTTAGAAACTGTTATTCTGCCATCCAATCCTACCTATGCTTCAGTTTTATGTCCCTGAAAAGCAGGGAGAAATGTACTCTTTTCGGAGAAAGGCAATCCAAAGGTTGAGGCCCAGGCAAATGACCTATCCATCTCATAGGGCTGCCTGAGCTCAGGTGAGACACTGTAAGCCTCAGGACACTGCCTACCCTGGATCAGAACCTATCCTAGCTGTGCAGGAACCAGCACATGGCACACTCGGGTTATACTCTGGGGTAGGGGTCCCCGGTCATAGGCCAATCCCCTACTGCACTTCTCCAGCCTGATCACCAGGATATGTCCTGATGCCTACAGCACTCAAGGATATCACTGTGAAAGTACCTAGCATTAAACATGCTTCCTAAGATACCTGCTCGCAGGAGACAGGGTCACACAGATGTTCTGTTTTTACCATTTCTCTCTTCCAGGGCCCTCTTTCAATATAGGGCGATTTCCTCACTACCTTGATTTTTACTGCCCAAGTCTCCTCTTCCCAGGCCACATTTTCTTTGTTTTATTTTAATCCTCCAAGTGATTCAAGGGCCTTACGTTTGGATGACTGCAAAAATGAAATAAAGTATAACAATTCCTCATTGCTCCCACCTGTACTTGCCCTTCCAGGCAATGCCTGTCCCTAGTCTCCTCTGTCTTGTGGCCAAGTCCCACTGTCCGGGGTGACAGTAGCATTTTGGTCCCCAGGGATCCTCAAGGCAGTAGCTGGACCTGGAGACTGGAAACCTTGAGTAAAATTCCACGTGGAGCCATAAAGGACTCAGTGATGTGACCAGCACCAGGGGTAGGGGAGGATACCCAGCTCACTGGTCTAGAGCTGGGGCAGGCATGTCTCCTGGCCTCTCCCTCCTCGAAGCTTGCCCTTTGGCATCTCAGGCACTGAGACACACCTGACTCACCCTTGATACTATCACCTTGGCATCTCCTCAGCAGCACTTACCCGCAGGTCATAGGATGGGCCAGGTTCCCACCCAGCCAAAGGCTCCCAGCAAACCTGATCCTAGGAGGCTGCCACACACCTTTTCCAAGTCACTCACCAGCTTCTGGAAGAGGTCGCCCACCCGCTGCTGGTGGCTCCACTGCTGCACGCGGGGGAGGAGCCCGTCGTAGAATTCTTTGTGGATCTCGTAGAGCTCAGGCACTTTGAAGAAGATGGTCTCAATCTGCTGACTCGTCAGCACCGGCTGAGAGGTGGTAGCAGCAGCTTTCAAAGGCTTCATGGGCTGTAAAAGGGCACGTATGACCGGAGAAAGTCATGGTTATGTGACAGATACAATTTTTTAAATCATATAAAAAATAGAATTTAAACACGGCTTGTATTGGCAACTGAGTCTTCAGTCCGTATCTGCTCCAGGGATGGTGAGTTGCCCAACTTTTGACAGCTGACCTGGGACTTAGGAGCAGAGAGTTCTCCCCACCCTGTAACCCTGCCCTGCCCAGCCCCCCACACCCTCTTACCAGCAGCAGTGCCTCCAGGTGGCTCAGGTAAGTCTCCTCGCTAGCCAGGATTCCAGACAGGACCCATTTCCTCATCTCTAAGCCCTTTTCCAAGTCCAGTTCACTCTGAAAGAGAAAGACAGAAGTCAGATCAGCAGGGGGAAATGCTGGTGTTGGCTCCCTCATAGAGGAAGGTCAACTTGTCAACCTCTGGACAAGTCCTCCAGGAGGCCCCACGTGGAATTAAAAGGGAAACATGGGAGCCTTGGCACATATCAGCCACTCACTGTGGTCACTGCAAATTCTAGGAGGATCATCCAACAAAGCCCAGGGCCATCCTTGGTCTCAACACACTGGGAAGCTGGGCACTGAGCAAGCTGGGCCAGGCCACCCTCCACTCTTTCTGCCAACGACCGAGAAGTGGCTGCCCTAACCTAGTCAAAAAAGGACAGAGGCTTGGCCCGAGAGGGTGTCAGGGCCTGCTGCATGACCACCAGGACTCCTGCTGCAGCTTAAGCTCCACTCTCTCCTATTCACCTGGTTCTCTCCTTGTCTGGATTCCCTGACTGCTGCTGCCACCTGACCCTTGGACCCACAGGGCCGGCCGCTACCATCTGCCTCCACACGCCCTCCCTACAGCTGGGGGCTGCTGTCACTTGCCAGGTGGAAACCCTATGCCTGGAGCTTATGACCTTTGTCCTCTCACCCTGCTTTCTAGATTCAGGCGGGGACCCTGTTACAGGTAGGCTATGGCAAAGTTCCCCCTGCCCATCAGTGTCCCTGATGAAAGTCCAGTGAAGCTCTACTACCTCAGCCTCCAAAAAGAGAGGTGACATGTTGTTAAATGCTGATACAGCCCGCACCCTGTGCGGCCATGTTCTAATCCTAGTTATGACGATATTATGGGCTTGTGCATCCCATCCCGCCAAATTCATATGTTGAAGTCCTAATCCCAGCACCTCAGAATGTCAGTGTTTGGAGATAGGGCTTTTAAAGGGATGGTTACGTTAAAATGAAGCCCCAAAGGTTGGCCCTGATCCAAAATAAAATATATTCTTACAAAAGAAGAGGCAGCCAGGCAAACAGTGGCTCATGCCTGTAATCCTAGCACTTTGGGGGGCAGAGGTGAGAGGTTGAGCCCAGGAGTTTGAGACCAGGCTGGGCAAGTTGGTGAGACCTCATCTCTATGATAAAATTAAAAAATCAGCTGTAGTGTAGTTTCAGCTACTTGGAAGGCTGAGGCTGAAAGATCACCTGAGCCCAGTAGGTTGAGGCTGTGGTGGCTGTGAGCATGCCACTGCACTCCAGCCTGGGTAACAGAGTGAGACTCTGACTCAAAAAAAAAAAAAAAAAGAGGCAATCAGAACACAGATTCACACAGAGACCATGTGAAGACATGGGAAAAAGACAAACCCAGGAGAGGCCTGAGAGGAAACTGACTTGCTGACACCTTGATCTGGGACTTCTGGAATTGTGAGAAAATAAACATCTGTTGTTGAAGCCTCGGGTCTGTGGTTGTTTATGGCAGCCACAGCAGACTAATACAGATGATGCCAATAGCAATAAAAACTGCCACTTTCTGGCCACTGACCTCTCACTCCCTGGCCACACATGGGCAATGTCAGTGTTGCTCCACCAGCCTGGGTCTGTGCTCCCTCTGCTCCGCTGGTGGCAACTGGTGGAAAGAGGGGTTCTGCTTCCATAAAAGCCCTACCCATTGCTCCTCTGGTTTCTCAGCCCACAGGTGCAGAACACTGGAGTGATGAACTCTGATCACTTGCTTTCCCAAACCACTTGGAGAAAATCACAGATGCAGGGCAGGCTTCTTGCCCTTGCCCTGCTGACATCAAGCTGGAGGAGTCTCTGTTAGGGGCTGCAGGGTGAGGTCCTGTGCCTCATAGGATGCTGTGCAACATCCCCAGCCTCCACCTACCCTTTGTCAATATTACCTTCTTCCCCAGGTGTGACAGCCACAAATGTCTCCAGAGGTGGCCACAGATTTCCTGGGGCAGAATCTGTGCTGCTAGCCCTGCTGTCCTTTCTACTTCCCTGGCCCAGAAGGAGGGACATAGGCCCTGCCTGGGTATAAAGTGGAGGAGAGGAGCCCAATACCACCCCGAGTCCTGGGGCTTATATCACATTCTCACTTGCCCACAAGGACCACCTAAAAAGCCCTCTTCGCCATCATTTTGCTCTGGGAATCTTCTAAGTGCGTATGCACCTGTGTGAGTGTGTACAGGAGCTGTGAGTATGGACATGTATGTAGGTGAAAGTCACTAAAACCTGGACTGAGAGCTGCTCCAGGGAAAGGACACCCAGGTCCCATGCACGGTCATCCCTCCAGGGCAGGCTGGGCAGTGGCTCCATAGGCAGGATCCTATAGGGCATGGCTGTGCCTGAACTTGCAATTTCCTGTGCCCAGCACAGGGCCTAGAACACCAAAGTGTTCAATTAAGTTTCGATTAGTAAATCGAATGTGAGTGAATCTCAAAAATCTGGCTGGGTCCTAGTTTTGGCTGCATCTTTCATGAAGCTCTAGGCCTCCTTCAGGGTCTCAGGATCCTCGTCTGCAGACATGTGGGTCCCCTTTAGCAAGTCCACTGTCAACGCTACACTGATACACAGTGGAAGAGGAGCCCATGACGCCCCCTCTCTGCCCAATGTGAATGGCAGCACCTTAGGAGCTCATCCCTCAGCTGCTCCTGCAGGTGCCTCCCAGCATGTCCAGATGTTGCTTCCTGCCCCACGCAAGGGACGGGGTGAAGCGGATGGTAGGCTCCTCCGGCAGCAGCAGCCATCCACCCACCTTCCCTGCCCCTATTTTGAGAACAATCTTGCCACTGTGAGCACTAGGGAGCCGGCAGGGCCCAGGGAAACCAGCAGGATGGCAGAGCCCATGGTGGCCCCGCCCAGCACAAGATGCCGGTGCCTGTGTGGGTGGGAGCACTATGTCTCATTTCACCCACAGGATTTGGAAAGCCGGGAGGAAAAACAGCGCAGGCAGGAAGGCGCAAGTCCAGCTCTACCCATACTGAAGGGTGGGGCCGCTAAGGGGAACATCTGGCCCATGGAACGGGCTGAAGTGGAGAGAAGGCACAGGATGACACCTCTCTTCTTTCACTAAGAATCTTCTAGAGTCTGAAACGGTGCTGGTGGCATCAGACAGGGAAGGCTCAGAAACCATCCAACTCTATATTGTAGAAAAGAGGGTGAGGAGAGAAACAGCAGTACATGAGAGACAGCAAAGGGTAGGGCCGGGTCCAGGGCTATTTATAACCCAGAGCCGGCCCTACCCTTTGCTGTCTAGCTCCAGGAAAGGGCTCGCTCCAGGAAAGGGCTCATGAATGCAGTCAGGGCTGAGCAGGCAGGAAGACCAGGAAGACCTCGGTGGGGAAAAAGCTGGAGGTAAAGGACAATTAGAAAAAGAAGGCAGTGACAGGGAAGGAAAGAAAAGCCCTCCTATTGCTACCTGGAAAGGACAACACAAAACCCAAGGTTTAAAAAAACCAACAAAGAACCCGTAAAACAAACTGGCTCCTGACAACCAGACAGCAAAAGCCAACAGAGGGACCCAGGTGAAAAAAACTGGGATCAGCCAGTGCCATGCCCACAGGTGAACTGAAGGCTGGAGATGGAACTGAGCTGCAGGACAAGGCAGAGCATAAGGACACCCTCAAATCCCCTCCTATCAGCTTTCCTAATCCAGGGAAACCCACTGATAATCAAGGCACAAACCCTGGCTGCGAGGGGCAGAGTGCTCCTGGTTGGGAACACAGCTAGCACAGCTGCGGAAAGGACCCTCTTCCACCCTGGGTAAGGGCAGTGTCTTCATTAGCAACAGAGCTGAATCTCACCCTGGAGCCCTGCCTGTGAGGCTCTGAGGGCCTCACCCCTCACAGCATGCATAGGGGCAGGAGTTAGTGTCTCTGCAGGCTCCTGGAGGTGCAGGTTGTCCCAGTAGGCAAGCCTGGCCTCTGTCCAACCCCTGCCTTCCTTGGGGGTGGGTATTCACAGAGAAGACCCATAACCCCAGAGTCTACTGAGCCCCTGAGTCACCTGGAGTTCTGAGGAAGGTTCTCTGGATGGCCCCATGGACCCAAAGACAAACTCGGCAGCAAGAAGCAAATGAGGGGTTGGAGGGGGTGTCATCTCAGCCAGGAGGGTAGGAGGAGAGAGATGAACAGGCTGACCACCCCCATCCCCGCTGGCTGGTCAGGATCAGGGTGCCTCGGGTCTCTGGGGGGGTCCTAGGAAGTGACAGCCACATCTTCCTCAAACCAAAGATCAAAAATGAAAGATGACATTTTCATGGCTTATAGTACAACTGACAGGGAAGCCAGAAAGTCAAGGCTATGCCAGACTCGAGGGCAGTGAAGAACACCTAGCCCCGGTCTCCAAATGCTGGCAAGAGCACCTAACCAAAAAGTTTCTGGAATGGAACTACATGCAGCCCTCCTCCAGTCAAATTTCCATTTCATCTAGATGTCTCCTCCAATTAAATGACCATCTCATTTAGATGCCTCCTCTAGGTCAAGTGGTATGCTTGGGATTGGAGACTCCAGAGCTGGCAACACAGATGTACAGTCTCCTGCAGGGCATAATGTCAGAAGGGTCTCCCGTGGGGGCAGAAGAAGGGAGCAGGAGTCAGGATCTAGACAGACTCCATAGGGGAGCAGCCTCTGAACTGGGCACTGAAAGGTGAGTCAGAGGCTGGTGAGGGTTGGTGGCCCCCATCCCTGGGCAGTGGCCTGAGGCAGAGAGTGGGCAGATCAGTTTCTAAGAGACCAAAAGGTACATCAAAGACTGGCCAGGTAAAGACAGACCGCAGGGATGATGGATGGACAGGGACAACCTGTCCCAGGTTTAGGACTCAGTCTACTTGTTCAGAGCTGTGAGGATCCTTCTCTGCACCAAACCATGCTCACACAGCAGTAAGAAAGGGATGTATCATGTACTAGGAAAGGCAAGGCAGTTGAAGAAAAGGGGGTCAACTGAGGAATCAGGAAGGCTTCAAATCCTGTAGCTGTGGCTCCGAGAAAGTTAATTCACCTTTCTGAAGCTTAATTTCCTAATCTATAAAACTGTGACATTGGACATGAAGATAAGAAGTTGCACAAGGCAGCAGCACATATGTGCCGTAAGGCCTCCCTCCCATCCTCACTTTTCCAAATGAGAAGCCTATCCGGCACTGAGGCCTTCAGAAATCACAAAAGCAAAAATAAACAGCAGTCCTGCAGCTACAGTGGCAGCCCCAGAGAAAGGCAAATCAGCGAGAAGACACACTTCCAGTGATTCCATACGCCAATGGGGAAAAGCACACCCCTCTCTTGCTCTTATTTTTTATTTTTTTCACCATGCCCAGCTAATTTTTTATTTTTTTATTTTTTGTAGAGATGAGGTCTCACTATGCTGCCCATGCTGGTCTCGAACTCGTGGGCTCAGACGATTCTCCTGCCTCAGTTTCCTAAAGTACGGGGATTACAGGCATGAGCTACCAAGCCCAACCTCTTGCTCTTATTTTTAAACATAGGGTGGAAACCACCCAGAAACAAGGTAAGCAGAAGGGGTAAATACCTATCATCAGGAGCCAAAAGGACAAAAGGGGCCAAAAAGACAGAAAAGAACAACTGTCCTGGGGCAGCGATCTTAGCCCAAGAAGAAAGGAACTCAAGAGGTCAAAGGGGGGCACCCAATGGCAGGAGGTACATGTTTGGGCTCCAAATCACTGCTCAAGTGACCACCCTAAGTCTGAGATGAGTCAGGAGGCTGCTGAGATGAGTCAGGACCCTGAGCCAGACTGGGCAAGGGGACCATCTCTGCAGGAACAGCATGGCCCAACCTGCGACCAACTGGGTGTGCTCCCGTGTGAGGAGGGCTGGTCCACAGCCTTCTCTGTGACAGAGCATCTACAGAATGTACCACTGCACTCTAGCCATGTGACCTCAGGGAAGCCACCTCTGGACCTCAGTTCCACATTTGTAAAGTGGAGGTGACAGCCCAATGCCAGCTCCACAGGATTGTTCATGAGGGACAAGTGAGAACTCATGGGAAAAGGCTCTGGTCACAGGGAAGCAGCCATCGCCAGCACCTCACTTTGGTAAAAGGGAGCAAGCAAGTGTACTCTGTGGAGCACAGGGGCATGTACCCAGACAATACCCAGCTCAGCACCATTGTGGGGCCACCATGCAGGTCCTGCTGGTTTAGATGCTGGCCTCCAGTGCTACCTGCCTCCTCCACACTCTGTTTGCAAAGCATTCCATGTTCTTCCTGCTCAACATCTACTAGGCTGTCTTCATGTGCTAGATGTAGAAATGAGGAGGGAGTTTTAAGTGACTCACCTGACTTCCAAACCCTTGGTTCCATTATTTACCTGCTATGTGCCCCTGGGCAAGGGGCTGCATTTCTAGGGGCCTCGCCTGGCCGCCTGCTGCGAGAGGCAGGTGCACCATGGGAACTCACCGCTTTGGCTGACTCCAGGGCTCCTGAGGTCAGTGCGTCCCGACTGCCCCTGCCCTTGCTGCCAAGGTGGGGTGATGAGGAGGGCGAGTCATCGATGTAGGGCAGCCCGTCCTGGTGCCGGCGCTGCTCCTCTGCCCGATCTGCGGCGCAGCCATACCCAGGTGGCGTGCCGAATGAAGCATCTGTGTATGCAAAGCAGCAGCCTAAGTTAGAGACAGAGAAGGGGACGTCCACACTCCACATGTCCCAGCAAACACCCAGGCTGACATCATCTCTGTCACCCATGGGTGTCTCACAGGGACCTGACATCACGTTCACAACCAACTGGCCAAAAACCACCAGGGTGAGGGGAATGAACGTGAGCTCACAACACAAGACAGGGTTTTCCAATGCTGTCTGGGGCATGTTTGCCCCTGGGAGGAGGGTGTGGCATATGAAATATACTGGAGGTACCAAAAAAAAAAGTACATGCATTTTAAGCAGTTAAGATGTTCACTGTAATCAGAAGTGTCTGGACACTGATGGTAACCACTTTGAGCACCTCTTGTAATTGCAGAAGTCAAACATGACTTGCATTCATCTTTTGCTATTATATATTGAGTATTATAGTTTTAATATTTTTTCCTTTCTTAAAATGTGTATACATTTTTTTGGCACCCTCTGTATATTTGGTCTCTGCACACCACCCCACTTTCCAGGCACAAGGCTTCGAATACCTTTAGAATCTCCAAAGTAATACATGTCCTTTTGTATGCTAAAGCATGACAGGTGGCTGGGGGCCCTGGGTTGTTGCCCGAGGAACCAACCACCTGATTTAGAGCGTTGGAACTTTTAGCCCCACTCTCAAACTCCAGGGAGGGGAGACGGGCTGAAAGTTGAATTGATCACCAGTGGCCAGTTGGTAACCGATGTTACCAGTTTTGACCGTAATAAAGCCTCTAGAAAAACCCAAAGAGGACAGGGTTAGGAGAGCCTCTAGGTTGCTGAAAAGGTGGAAGCAGCTGGAAAGGGCACAGAAGCTCTGTGTCCCTTCCCTCAAAACCTGCCCTACGATCTCTTCCATTTAGTTGTTCCTGAGTTATATCTTTTTATTAAAAGTCAGTAATCAAATAAGTAAACTGTTCTGTGAGCCATTCTAATAAATGATCAAACTCTAGGAGGGGGCCGTGGGAAGTTCCAATTTACAGCCTGTAGATGCCTGCAATTACTATTGGCTTCTGAAGTTAGGGGCAATCCTGTGAGACTGAGGTCTTAACTTGTAGGATTTGATGGCTAGCTTCAGGTAGTAGCATCAGAACTGAGGAGAAATTATACGACACCCAAAGGGTGTCTGCAGGGAATCGGAGAACTGCTTGGTGTGGGGAAAAAAAATCCTATGTTTGGTCACCTAGTGTTTTGTATTGAGCGTGAGTACAAAAACAGTTGTTTTTTCCCCCACACAGGGGGCCTGACTGTTACAGAAAGGGGGCCCCAAATGCTAGTATCTTGCTGTTAGGGACAGTCCTTGACACCTGCTTATGGAGATGTTACGGAGTGAGGACAGGCCAGCACACTGGATGGGGTGTAAGTCCTGGCCACCATGAGCAGCAGGTCCCACCATGTTCTCAGTCCCATCCCAAGGAGCTGCAGCTCCAACACTCCTTCTGCCCAGCCCACCCTCTGGCTGATGCATAGGCTACTTCCCAGCTGGTCTATCAAAATCCCAGACCACATTAACCCCAGCAGTCTAAGTATCCCCAGGAGCTCTGAGAATGGCTAATCCCACAAAGGGCTCCCTGTCTTTGGGACTAGCTATTTAAGGAAAATTACACATTCCTCCCAAAAGCCATCTGGAGATAATCAATTCCTTCCTCCCTGGTTGAGCGACAAAACTGGACCCGCGTTTCCAAGGCCTTAGCCACCTGGAGCTCCTCTGTGGCCCACTCCTAACTGAGCGGACTCCTCACTACAGACATCAACCAACAAGGACCCAGCCCACTTCAGGTCTCCCATGAAGATCCTTCCAAAGGGCACCTTTGTTTCCAAGTTACGTCACTTTCCCTTGACTCACCCTTAAGCAGCCCTGCCCAAAGGTTACCGGCAGAGGAGATATCAGTGTTCATTCACGAGTTTACAATTGCCACTAAATACACCCAGGTCAGGTGGGTCCAGGGCTGCTCTCTCAGGCCTCCAGAGAAGCCAACCCAGCAATCTGGAAGGGGGACTGTTTTCAGTCCTTCCCACATGGGCAGCCAGGAGAAGCCGTGTGGCCGGAGTGACTTGCTGCTAGCTGTGGGTGCCCACAAACAGCCAAATCCCACTCCTCGCATGCTTCGGCCTCTCCCTTTGCCAGGTTCTCTACCTCTGTGTCCCAGCAGGACTCTGCGCCCTCTAATAGGTTTCTCCAACCATGGCTGCATATCAGCATCACCTGAGAGATCTGAAAACACAATTAGGCGGGTCCAACACAGACCAACCAAATCTGAAGCTCTGAGAGCTATCTGGGCCCTGGTGGCCATACAAGCTCCCAGGCAACTCTAGCAGGCAGCCGGGGCTGAGGCCCACTGAGTCACCCATCCTGGTGTCTGGCACTATGTCTGTTGTCATGCTGACCTGCAGCATGTTCCAGGTGTCTGCACACAGCTGCTGGTTGCAAAGGCCAGGCTGGGCTCTGCCTGCATGTGCCCACAGGAGGACCCCAGCAAGAACTTGTTCTGGGTTGAGAGTAGCAGCCGTGGTGGGGGGACCTTAGGAGTTGGGGACTCCTATCAAGTCCTCTGAACAAGCTGTACAGAGAATCCTGGCAACCTTAATTCACAAAACATCAAGGGAACTCCATCACTATGTTGGTTATCAACACCCAGCTCCCCTGGCCTTCGGGTGGGGAAAGTGAGCTGGCTTTAAGAGCCATGGTGTAATTCCTCAGAAATGAGGCTCTGGTCCCCTCTCTGGCTACCTCTATGAGTAAGGACAGGACAATGAAGTTGTCCATGCCTCAACCTTCTTGACTTTAAAATCAAGCATGCGAACTAGACATTGATAAAGACCCACTAGTTCTAAAACGTTACTGTCACTATTCGAGGAAGGCCCTGCCTTTCCCCCTTGACTTCCTAACCTGGACTCCTCCGAATTCCTCACCCTGATCCTCACCCCAACGCCCTTTTGGACCTGGCTTTTACATTAGCTCAGAATTATCAGTGTCCACTATGTGTTCTAAGAACCTTTAGTTTTGCTTTTTTTCTAATGACAATCTTAAGAAATCAATAGACTCTTTATCTCCTGCTTTTCTCAGCACTGCCACCTGATTTCCACTCCCGTGACTGCAGTAACTCATGTGCAAGGTAAAGTCAACCCAGCAAGAACTTCAGGGTCAGTGTTGGGGTCGTAGGACTTACTCCAGAGGAATCATAAGAGTCTACATTTGTGAAACAACATGATAGCTTAGCAACCGGGGTAAAACCTGGTGCGAGAATCAAGTGCCCAGCAAGGGTTTGCCTGCCAGGGTCAAACAAGAGCACTGACTTTGACATGAACACATCATCTACACCAGATGAGACTAAGGAACCACTTTTCACAGCCAGATTTCCGCTGGGTAATTATGAGGCTTCCAGGCAGCTAAAACCATGACAATTTCCCCACTCCGTAGGGAACTCAAACTGATGTCCGTGTAGCTGATGCTTTGAACTCTGGATTCCAGATGGCCTGTTCATCCCTGCCACATTCCACCTGAGGGCTTCAGCCACTGTCCCAGCCCACCCATATCCCTCTAATCGCTGTCCTTCTCTTTGCTGTCCCCTCCAGCCTGGTCCAAGGCAAATGATGGGGTGGGGCAGGAGGACAGCCCCTCAATTTCCTCAACCCCCATTCTAACCAGCATACAGGGACCTGCTTTACAAACCTGAGGTCCTCAAACCACACGAGCCCTGCTCCTCTTAAGCACAAAGCATATTATTTAGGAATTTTTGAAAGCCACCATCTCCCAAGAACCAGAGGCAACTGAGGTGACTCTCTGTTCCCTTCACCTAGGCACACCTAGTGGGAAAACTTCGCTGGGTCTTGTCATCTTTGGCAGGACTGAAGAACCACTGGTCACATCGGTCCTTTCTTGCAAAACTCTACCCAAAGCAGAAATCAAAGATCAGAAAGTAGAAGGTGGGGGCTTGGGATCCTGCTGCTGCTCAGCGGAACCACTAACCATTCTAGGAGTGAGGGGTCAGGGAGCAAGCACTGCAGACAGCCACCCTGCCTCAGTGTAGATAAGGACAGCCCAGCGAAATCTAAAGCCCTCTCCTCTCCTGGCAGTTTGCTTAGCAGTCCAACCCCAGCACTTTGCTTGAATCTATTCTTTGATTAAAGAAAAAAGGGCGGCTGGGTTCGTGGCTCAGCCTGTAATCCCGCACTTTGGGAGGCTGAGGTGAGTGGATTGCCTGAGCCTGCGGGTTTGAGACCTGCCTGGGCAACTTGGCGAGACCTCAACTCTACAATAAATCAAAACATTAGCCGGGCGTGGTAGTGTGTGCCTATAGTTCCAGCTCCTTGGAAGGCTGAGGCAGAGGGATCGCTGGAGCTCAGCAGGTTGAGGCTGTGGTGGCCGGGAGCGGCCATTGCACTCTAGTCTGGGCGACAGAGTGAGACTCCAACTCAAAAACAAGAAAAAAAGAAAAAAGGGCAGCTAAGAAAGAAAAAGAAAAAAGATTCCTGGGTGGGTTCCAGTCAGCCCAGGCCCAGGTAGGTAGGTGCACAGGTCACATCCCCTCCTTGAGCCTCAAGAAACACACTGCTTTAAAAAAAAAAATCTTTCAAAAAATTAAACAGAATTACCATATAATCCAGCAACTCCTACATATTTACCCAAAATAATTAAAAGCAGCGACTTGAAGAGATATCTGGGTCTGGTGTGATGGCTCACACTTGTAATCTCAGCACTTCGGGAGGCTGAGGCTGGAGGATCAATCACTTAAGCCCAGGAGTTTGAGACCAGCCTGGGAAACATAATGAGACCCTGTCTCTTAAAATAAATAAATAAAGAGGCTGGCTGGTTCAGTGGCTCAGTCTGTAATCCCAGCACTTGGGAGGCCGAGGCGAGTGGATTGCCTGAGACCAGCCTGGGCAAGTTGGTGAAGCCTCATCTCTACAATAAATAAAAAATTAGCTGGGTGTGGTAGCACGCACCTGTAGTTCCAGCTACTTGGAAGGCTGAGGT